GTCTCCCCAATGAGTCCCTAGGAGTATCTCCTTATGAGATGCTCTACGGCCGTAAGTGCCGTACTCCCCTTAAGGCTTTCAAAGACTCTCTCAGAGATGCCACCTTCAGTGAGCATCAGAATGTGCCCCAGTTTCTTCAAAACCTTCAGCACATTCTAGAGAGAGTCCACCGCTTTGCCCATGATAATCTATTGAAAGCCCAGGTGAGAATGAAGACTCATTACGACCAGACCAGCAAAGTAAGAAAATTCAAGCCGGGAGACTTCGTCCTTGCTTATTTCCCTATCCCAGGTTCACCTTTACAAAACAGATTTTCAGGACCCTACTGCGTCAAAGAGTGCAGGAATAATAATAATTATGTGATAGAGACTCCAGATAGGCGGCGGAAGACCCAGCTGTGCCACGTCAACCTCCTGAAGCAATATAATGGTACTCCTCCCACTGTCTTGACTAATTATTCCACATTCACAGAACCCTACATCCACAGTGAGACCTTCCCAGCTTCTCCTCCCGAAAGCACTGACAAGGAGTCAGCGCTTTCTAATTCCGAAATCCTTAATGATCTTCCCAAATACTTTCAGGATAATCATAGTGCACCTCTCGTCAAGATCTTCAGAGAACATCAAGAGTTGTTCAGAGATGATCCCCAAGAGTGTAATGTTACCCAGCACGACATCCAACTGCTCCCCGACACCCGGCCGATTCGTCAACCCTTCTACCGAATCAGCCCGAGCAAGAAGGAAGTCATGCGTGCTGAGGTGCAATACCTCTTGGATCATGGACTGGCTACACCTTGTGAGTCCCCCTGGGCCTCACCTTGTATCTTGGTGCCCAAACCCCAAGGTAAGGTGCGGTTGTGCACTGACTATCGAAAACTGAACTCTGTCACTGTCAAGGATGCTTACCCCTTGCCAAGGATAGATGACATCCTTGATGCCATTGGTAGTGCCCAGTACTTGTCCCAAGTGGACTTGCTTAAGGGGTACTATCAAGTGTGTCTAACGGAGCGCGCTAAAGAGATATCTGCCTTCATTACTCCTTTTGGACTTTTCAGATATGAACGCCTTCCTTTCGGACTATGTAATGCCCCGGCCACCTTTCAAAGAGCTGTCAACCGTGTCATCCAGGGCTTGGATAACACGTACGCCTACCTGGACGATATCGTCGTAGCCTCCAACTCCTGGAGTGCACATCTGCTCCAGCTGCGACGTCTGTTCTCCAAGCTCCTGACAGCCGGCCTCACCATCAACCTGGGCAAGTCCACTTTCGCGAAAGGTAAAGTGCGTTATCTGGGTCATGTTATTGGGAGTGGCAGCATAGCTCCGTTAGACTCACACACTCAAGCCATCCTACAGTATCCACAGCCTACCACCAGGAAGCAGCTCCTGCGCTTCCTTGGTCTTGCCTCTTACTACCGTAGGTTTGTGAGGAATTTCAGTACAGTCGCCACACCTCTAATTCTATTAACCAGTCCCAAGCAACGGTATAATTGGACCATGCAGCAAACCGTTGCTTTCGAACAACTCAAATTCCTCCTCTGTTCTAACCCCATTCTCGCCTCTCCAGATATCACCAAGCCTTTCGTCCTTCATGTCGACGCCAGTGGTACCGGCGTTGGTGGTGTCCTGATGCAACTACGAGGCGAGGAGGTTCTACCTGTCAGCTACTACAGCTACAAACTGAAACCACACCAGAGGAACTACAGCACTATTGAAAAGGAGCTACTATCCATCGTCCTGAACCTCCAACACTTCGCTCCGTACCTACAAGGCGCCAGGTCTACCACCATCTTCTCAGACCACAACCCTCTCCGCTTCCTACATCAAGCCCAATTCACCAACCAACGTCTTCTACGATGGGCTCTGTATTTACAAGACTTCAACCTGGAGATCCGCTATATCAAGGGTTCTGACAACACCATAGCCGATGCCCTCTCCAGAGTTTATGAAGTAGAAGCGACTCCATCCATTACTCCACCACATAACGACGTACTTCTTCCAGAACCGCAGGCTTCGGGGGAGAGTTGTGACGATAATCTCCTTCAAGAGATTGAGCCTGCTCTTCCCTCCAAAATTACGTCTTCACAATTATATAAAAAGACTATGGAAGAAATGTCCAACAACGACAACAACACCAGCACCAGCAAGGCTTGCCAGGGTGAGCAGAAACGTATGCATCCAGCCACCTGTTCGAACTCCAACCACCAAACTACCCGTTGATCGCTACGGCTCCGCTGATTGGTCGCCGGTCTGGCTGCACCTGCACTCGCCCCCCAATACTACCCGATGTCTGGGGTCGCCCCAACATCAGTCTTCAGAATGTTCCGTGCTTTCGTAGCCAGCACTCCTCCCAGCTAGACGTTAGCGTGTACTGAGAGAGGTGGTGGCTTTAAGCCAATATTCCAGCACCTCCCACTTACTGTTGTATTGCACTTCTTGTTATTTTGCCTTAACGTAACTTTTCATTTTGTCATTTAAGAATTCTTATTATTTTGATTCATTGATTTTATTATAAGAATTTGTTTGTGCATTATTTTCATGTTTTGATTTATTTAACGTCATTAAAATTTCATTGTTAAAGTTTTACTTGTGTTTTGTGTGTCTTCTCCTTACCTTACCACAGACGAAGTTCCAGTTTTTCTATTTTTTTTTTATAACTATGTGACGAGGCCATACCCCTAGCCTTAAACAGCCGAATACCAACGCGTTACCGTCACACCACTAAGAGAAAAAAAAAATTATAATATCACAAAATTAATACCCTGGCATAGTGCACCAACTCTTCGTTTTATCACTGACTTACAAAATGAAAATGAAAATACAATACACTTACAATTAAAAATACAAAATGGAGACAATAAAGAAACTAGTGTTCAATACCCCACACTCGGTGAAATAGAACATGTCCAGGTCTCCTTGTACCTGGCAGACATTCAAACTCAGCACCATGATTGATTGATGAAGGTTAAGCCACCCAAGAGGTGGCACGGGCATGAATAGCCCGTAAGTGGTAAATTTTGTTTAGTAAATGTATACTGTGGTGCTGAGGTCGCATTTAATCGTGAGGCTGCTATCGCCGGGGGAGGATACTGCGTGACAGTATTTATGAACGTGTCCAGCTGCTGGACACCTTTTTTTGACCAGAAGAGTGGCAGTGTTGATGGCTTCAGGGTGGTTACTGCAAAATTCAGGGACTCTTAAAGCTCTTCTAAGAAAATTGCAGCAGCACTTAAGTGTAATATATAGTATTGGAACCCGCAAGACCTCACTACCATAACACGTGTATATGAGAGTATCCCCTCCCAGGTGCACCAGTTTCTCTCGTCTCCCTCTTTGTCTGCTCTGGTTCCATCACTCTTGTTTGTGTTTTTCACTGTTTACGTAAACATCCCCTATCATTTCTACACTGGCTGGCGCCAATTTCAAATATAGCAACTGACGCTGTATACATAAATGGCTGTATACATAAATGTATTGTATAGGGACATGAATGATTATCCACTTGTAGATATCCATTCTTTCCAATACTGCTACTGTAACTACTATCACGGCTCCTGCTTGTGGTACTACTCCTACTATTACTAAAACTACTACTAATACTACTATTGCTACTAATGTCTGCTGCTAAATCTACACTTATTTATTTATTTATTTATATACAAAAAGGTACATTGGGTTTGTGAGAATACATAGCATAGTACAGTATTTACAATCTTGTAAAGCCACTAGTACGCGCAGCGTTTCGGGCAGTAGTAATAACTTTATAATAGGCAGTAGTTTGTAACTTCCACAAACAACTATCACAACTATTGCTTGTGACAGTACTGCCGCCGCTGCAAATGCTGTTAACATAATTATTACAAATATAATAAAAAATGATAATTAAATCAAATAATTTATGTAAAACAATTCAGTTTGCATCATCCAAAAACACATAATCACCCACATTAACGAACAACTAAATATAATTATTAGTGTCATTAGTCGCGCTAATTAACCAAATATCCAAATCCTCTTTAATTACTTGATCATTTACCTGTGCGTTAACCTATCTTAATGGCGGAGCCGCAGTAGGAAGACTCGCTTGTCGCGATCTCTGACTAGGTCTCCTGGTTGATGGTCTGGTCAACCAGGCTGTTGGACGCCGCTGTTCGCAGTCTGACGCATGAATATCAGCCATGTTCTCTTGAATAGTAATTCACATTATGACGTATAATTTCCCTAAGGACCAAAATTGATGTATTAAAAATGGCAGAGGCGCGCGAAATTAACGTGACGTCCCGTTTTCTGTTCGTCGGTCATCGGACAAGTTAGGTTCGGGTGAGTTAGTACAACAGTTTAGTGACGTTGGGGACACTTAGGATACTATGCTGAGTGACAAGCCAATAGAGGCGTCATCTTGGTGACTCCTGGGTCCAGCCGGATATGCCGTGAGTATATCCGGCATATATATATATATAGTTATATATATATATATATATATAATATATATATATATATATATATATATATGTGTGCTTGCGGGGGTTGAGCATTGGCTCTTTGGTCAAGTGTGTGTGTGTGTGTGTGAGGGGAGAGGGGTGAGAAAGATAGATGCTAGGAGCGCGTTCCCGAGGGCAGAACAAAGTATTGTTATTTAGATAAAGATTCTTGTCCAGGTGCCGGGCGATAGCTGTGAAGGTGGTGTTGGATATCTTGCGAGTCTACATATTTAACCGCGAGACACAGACGAAGGTCACCCATAAAGGATACATAACACAAACAGCTTGTGGCAGAGGCAAGGAAGATTTGAGGCAACTACAGCTGGCTCCTTGACCCCTCACAGTACCAGCTTTCTGTACCCCCCCCCCTTCCTCACAGGACCAGATAGCTCCGCCCTCGCCTCCACAGTGCTGGTCCTCAAACCTGTCTCACAACTGATCTACACATCCGACCGTCATCGCTCTTCGCTACTTTTCTGCTGTTTTCCCAGGCGATGTAAACACCCATAAGTACACTTACGTTTTCCTGCGGCTGTTGTGATGAACAGACAGGGACGACCCCTCTCAGCCAGGGACGGCCCTCTCAGCCAGGGACGGCCCTCTCAGCCAGCGACGGTCCTCTCAGCCAGCGACGGTCCTCTCAGCCAGGGACGGCCCTCTCAGCCAGGGACTGCCCTCTCAGCCAGGGACGGCCCTCTCAGCCAGTGACGGCCCTCTCAGCCAGGGACAGCCCTCTCAGCCAGGGACGGCCCCTCTCAGCCAGGGACGGTCCTCTCAGCCAGGGACGGTCCCTCTCAGCCAGGGACGGTCCTCTCAGCCAGGGACGGCCCTCTCAGCCAGCGACGGCCCTCTCAGCCAGGGACGGCCCTCTCAGCCAGGGACGGCCCTCTCAGCCAGGGACGGCCCTCTCAGCCAGGGACGGCCCTCTCAGCCAGGGACGGTCCTCTCAGCCAGGGACGGCCCCCTCAGCCAGGGACAGCTACCAGAATGAGTACCGGTGTGGCCTGGCGGGTGATGGAGTCCGCAGCTGTGCTTGGTCTGGCGGTGGAGTCAAGACGGTGCTCAAGGGTCGACTCTAATCTCTTCGCGCCGTAACGTTTTTCATCCGGTGCTGTTCATTAGGTTTACTCACCTGGCTGTCCTTGGGGGGGGGGAAAGCTAAGTTTTAGCTCTTGAGCCCCGCCTATCAGTCGTCAGTTGATTGGTATGCATGTTCCCGTAACCTTAGAGCTGTCATGTCTTCGTTTGACGCTGTAAATGCCTCCATCACTTCGTGTTGTGGTTCCTTTTATCTAATTAATAAAATATTCGTAATATCCCTGATGTGATTTTACAAACTAATTAGTACGTGTAACATCCATGTCATATAATGCTTTGTTTACCTTGTCACAGCCTCACAGAGATAGTCGTGTGGTGGAGTCAGGACTTTGATAAAGTGTCCTGTAATCTGTTAGTGTCATAACGTTTTATATCCGGCTCTGGCCGATGAGTTTACTCACCTGGCGGTGCTGGCGAGGGGCTGAGGTTTACCTCCCGAGTCCCGCCTCTCAGCCCTCACTCGATTGGTGTGGGAACCGACCTGTGAGATTTATATTTATTTATGTGAATTTATATAGAATTTATATTTACGTTAATTTATGTATTTCGATAGCAATTTATATGATGTTTAGTGGACTGTATTTCTGCAATATTCTTACAAATCGATCCTTACACATTAGGGGGGTTTATATTAAATTTATATATATGCAGCCAATCAAACTACAGTATTAAACTACATATATTAGTAAATAAATTTTGGTGGTGCCTTATCTCATTATTTGGTAGGCCTAGTCCACCAGGTATAACTAGGATGTAGACACTATATAATCCTCTGGATGAGGCTTGCTTCCACCATCCAAGTAACTGATGTACCAAGATTAATTCTTGCTTCCTCTTCTTGTTCCTGTCAAAGGGCACTAGCTGTTAGCCGGAATTCTAATATATGACAGCTATATCAGATGAAACATTTATATATTATTAGATAAGGACTAGGGCTTAATTACCTGGGTTGAGTCGTTCGTTCGTGATCTAACCGGAAATAATCCTATCTACCTTTTATATTACTGGTCAGAAATTAATTAGATAAGATTTCGGAAAGACACTTCCCTTGTTAGATGTTGACTGCGTGTTGATGATGGTAGAAGCACTAATTTGATCTCCATAACACTTCGTCCAAGAGAAATTATAGGCGCAGAATTTGCTCCAACGACTCTGGTCTTAACAATGGCTGACTTTCCACCACTCACGCTCCTGGCTCTCTTTGTCCAGATGTCAGTAAGTGATAGAAGGGTCACATTTATTCTATTATGATACTGATAATTAAGTTACTTCAAATGAAATGTTTTTATGATGTAATAAGTCCAAAGACTACTGTATTAACAATAATTCCCAACAGAATAGCTGGTGAATTTATAGCACTATGTGGCAATGATATCCCGTTTTCTATTGATGGAAAACTCCACTACAAGCTTCATTTTCTATGGGTTAACTTGTGTATGCAACAGCAGTAATATTATATGCCTATTATATTTAATATTAGTAAATGGCGTCGGGTTTTCCGACAATTGGTTTACATGTACCCGAAAGCTTAGAGCTCTGTCATGTCTACATCTGACTCTGTACTTGGGTCTCTACCTCTTCACTTTGTAGTTCCTTGTATCGAGTTACTACTCTGAGACGTCGAGAAATTGTTCATTATGTCCTTGAGTTGGTTTAAGTCCACTAATGGAATAGGGTAAGAGCAGAAGTCGACGAGGCAAAGTGGATTCAAAATTTAAAATTAAGATTTGGTAAAAACGTGAGAAATTCATCATTAATCGAAGAACTTGGGCTGGAAGGTGTAGGAGCCTAACTCGATCATGTAAATACATGTAGGTAAGTACATCTAGATGGATGTTCTTGTTATATGGGCTCTGTTGAGAGTGTAGACCCTGTTATATGGACTGTGTTGAGAGTGTGGACCCTGTTATATGGACTGTGTTGAGAGTGTGGACCCTGTTATATGGACTGTGTTGAGAGTGTAGACCCTGTTATATGGACTGTGTTGAGAGTGTGGACCCTGTTATATGGACTGTGTTGAGAGTGTGGACCCTGTTATATGGACTGTGTTGAGAGTGTGGACCCTGTTATATGGACTGTGTTGAGAGTGTGGACCCTGTTATATGGACTGTGTTGAGAGTGTGGACCCTGTTATATGGACTGTGTTGAGAGTGTGGACCCTGTTATATGGACTGTGTTGAGAGTGTGGACCCTGTTATATGGACTGTGTTGAGAGTGTGGACCCTGTTATATGGACTGTGTTGAGAGTGTGGACCCTGTTATATGGACTGTGTTGAGAGTGTGGACCCTGTTATATGGACTGTGTTGAGAGTGTGGACCCTGTTATATGGACTGTGTTGAGAGTGTGGACCCTGTTATATGGACTGTGTTGAGAGTGTGGACCCTGTTATATGGACTGTGTTGAGAGTGTGGACCCTGTTATATGGACTGTGTTGAGAGTGTGGACCCTGTTATATGGACTGTGTTGAGAGTGTGGACCCTGTTATATGGACTGTGTTGAGAGTGTGGACCCTGTTATATGGACTGTGTTGAGAGTGTGGACCCTGTTATATGGACTGTGTTGAGAGTGTGGACCCTGTTATATGGACTGTGTTGAGAGTGTGGACCCTGTTATATGGACTGTGTTGAGAGTGTGGACCCTGTTATATGGACTGTGTTGAGAGTGTGGACCCTGTTATATGGACTGTGTTGAGAGTGTGGACCCTGTTATATGGACTGTGTTGAGAGTGTGGACCCTGTTATATGGACTGTGTTGAGAGTGTGGACCCTGTTATATGGACTGTGTTGAGAGTGTGGACCCTGTTATATGGACTGTGTTGAGAGTGTGGACCCTGTTATATGGACTGTGTTGAGAGTGTGGACCCTGTTATATGGACTGTGTTGAGAGTGTGGACCCTGTTATATGGACTGTGTTTTTAGTGTGAGTGTGAATGAAGCTGGCCGCCTCAATTGTGACTGTCGGAGAATGGATAACTTTGTGTACATTGTCTTTCAAAAGTGCCTTTTTATAGTTCTCTTTAATAACTGTTAATCTGACGTCTACATAAGATCTCTGTAAGTCTAATCATTCCTGTTTTAGTCTATATCTTGTTATCAGTATATGCCTTGGCCCCTCAAATAATATGTTTAATGTTATTACCTAGGAGTTCCAATCATTCTTTATTATTTCTGCTCCCCTGATTAATTTTTCTGACTATGGGTCGTGATTTTAAACTAGTTTTTAATGTCTAATTTTTTATTTTAAAATATGTATAATGAACATAAACCCAAAAGAACTTATACAAGGAATATAGATTATATAGTTTATAATTTTATAGATTATATATAGATGCTTTGATACATATAATTTGCCAGAATATTTAAGCACTTAGTACACTTGAAGAAAAATAATCTCACAGAGAGACTGGCACAATCTCAGAGGAATATAGTCATACAGAGACTTCAGATAGCAATAAGATGACCTTGAATTAAAGAAAGTAATGCCTCAATCAAGTGGAATTGACAAGGCAGACATGGATAGATAGTTGTCTATGGATAGTACAAGAACATAGAGACTCTGGTGGAAACTAAGCACCCAAATGAGGCACATAGTCATTAGACATCAAAATTTCGTGTAGGAGCATTTAACATCTGGAGTTGTCGGAAAATCCGACACCATTTAATAATATCATACAGACAGAAAATATTGCTGTGTTGTATAAACAAGTTAACCCATAGAAAATGTAACATGTAATGGAATTACCGTCTATAGAAAACGGGATATCGTTACCACATACTATTATAAATTCACCACCTATTATGGTGGGAATTATTCTTAAATACATTAGTCTTTGGACTTTACCATCATAAAAACATCTCATATAAATTAACTTAATTATCAGAATTAAAATAGAGTAAATGTGACCCTTCTATCACTTACTGTCATCTGGACAATGTAGACCAGTAGCGTGAGGGAGGAGGGAGTGGTCAGCCATTGTTATTGTACTTAGACCAGAGGCTCACGGGAGCAATTCGGCTCCTGTTAATTTTACTTGGACGAAGTGTTATGGAAACCAAAGGTGTACCATCATCAACACGCTGTCAACAAATACAAGTTAAGTGTTCTGCCGAAACCCATTTATCTATCATTTGTGGCCATTAATGTCATTAGATAGGGTGTGCCAGTTAGATCACGAGATCGCCTCATACTAAAGGTAATTAAGCCTAGGTCTTTATGGTTCCTTGTACAGTGGTTTCTCTGTTATAGCTGTCATATATTAGGATTCTGGCTTCATAGCTAGCGCCCTTTTGACAGGTCAAGACGAGGAAGCATGCTTTGTGTACCAGTTACTGGGTGATGGAAGCTACCTCAAAGAGGATAATTTGGTGTCTACATCCTGGTTATACCTGGTGGACTAAGGCCTGCTGTACAATAAGATAAGGAACCTCTTCAATGTGTAGTTAATACTGTAGTTTGATTGGCTGCATATATATAAATTTAATATAAACCCTCCTAATGTGTAGAGGATCGATTTGTGAGATTATGAGATTATTGCAGAAATACAGTCCACTCATTATCATACAAATTGCTATCGAAGTATATAAATTAACGTAAATATAAATTTATTTAAATTAAATAAATATAAATCTCACAGGTCGGTTCCCACAGGAGAGCACTAAGAAGGGCCGTGGTGGAGGCAGATTCCATACACAGCTTCATGTGAAGATCTAATAGAGTCCATTATGTTCGGAAACCTGTACACCAGTTAATGAAAAGTTGAGAGATGGGACCAAAGAGCTGAAGCTCATCACCCCACAAGTTCAATTTCGTAAAAACAACTAGATAAGATAGTCACATAGAGACTGACACAGAAACAGACATTATTAGGCAAGCATTGTCTCTCTGAATAACTTTAGCAATACACAATTCTGGCACATGTAAGCATGACATTATAAAACAATGATAAAGCGAGAACACTGGAAATTCCTCATGATGAGAGTATGGTCGTCAGCATCATGTTACAGATATGCAGTAAAAATCTTAGTGTTATATATTTATATATATATATATATATATATATATATATATATATATATATATATATATATATATATATATATATATATATATATATATATATAAGCATAAGCTCCCAATAACATTTTTGAAGAAAACACAACAGCGCGGACATAACCCCGTTCCTCCGTCACCTTGTAACAAATGAAAGAGTTCATTAATATCTAAACACATGAAGGAGACACACGAGTGTCTTCATGTCTCTCCGATGTGTGTGTGGTTTTGATTCCAGATTCGGAAGGATTTTGACATGAAATCATTGCCTGTGTCTGGGTTGAGAGTTGATCTATCTTTCCTTTGGGCTCAGTCTGTTATTGAACATCAGTGTGGTTCGTACCATAGGTGAACTGGCTGTTGGTGGGAAGTTTCCACCGAGATTATTTGTAAAGCAGGAACTGAGAATAATGAATAAAAGTAATAAAGGATAATGGAGAAATCTTATTTACCCATCTTAGGAAGATATATACCGATAATTGGCCCATAACAAGTATCGCCAGTTACTGTTGACAGAGATGTTCTTTTATTTCTTTTATCATCCTTTGCATCCAAGTTTGTACTCTGTGTGTCACTATATTTTTTTGTTCCATAATCCGATCCCTATTCTCATCTAAGCTCATTCTCAAACTCTTTCGTATTTGATCGAGTTCGTTACTTACAAACTTTTCCAATATCTTCAATATTTCTTCCACCTTGTGTGCCACTTGTTGTCTCCTACAACCATCCTCATAAGACAAGCCCTCAATAATTTTTTGACTTTGTTTTGTTAGTGTTACTATCACCTCAAAATCTACATTTTCAATTTTAAATCCTCTACATCTTTCGTTGATCTTGTCCAGTATATCTGGCACAATCTGTAACATATGGCATGCAGCAACCTTGTTCTCCTCTTTTTCTGTAATGGCCTCTATGTCAGCCCGTACAGCGTCAGTTTGCTCAATACTGCAATGCGATGGGCACCACTTATGTAATATGCCACTCCTGTATTTGTGACAGCTGCGTTGACCCTCTTTCTTTTTGTGATCTGGATAGTGTGGAACACTTCTTACATCCGACAATGTGTACAGTTGTTGTATATCTGCTTCGTCCAACACGAGAAAGAACTCGAGTGTACTGTTGCATTGTTTCTCTATTGTGCCTTCGAAATACTTCCTGTGATTGCTTAGATACCTATTTTGGTTATCCAATTGGTGCCAGGGTCCTCCGGGTTTTAAATGGTCGTATTCCGGAAAGAGAGTAAATTCATCACCAGATTCCTTGAATCCCCATCCAGATTTCATACCAAATTTTGAGGAATCTGGTGAAGCAATCAAAATTCTCGTAGAAGCGGAGAAATTGTATTGAATCACCTCCATGAAGTAAGCCTTATACTTCTTCGTAAACAAAAATTTGTCACAAAATTCATTAAAATCTACTTTGTACATGACATTTCCGAACCAGTCTCCGTCTTTCATTATGTCTTTCTCTGTTTCAGAGTCCAGAACACGAAACCATAACCCTTTTATACCATCTGGGAGTAGGGTGCGGTGCCTGACTTCCGTCTCATAGGGTATTAGAGTATCACGCAATTTTCCCTGCAGATAGTCTTCAAAATGCACAGTTCTTACAATATGAGTAAAGTCTTCGTAGTCAGACTCACACACGGCGAGAGTTTTGTAATCACCTGGAATCCATGTTTTAAACTCAGGATAGTGGCCCGTAGTCCCTGACCTCAGAACACGGTCCTGCATGATCTGGAAAAAAAAAGAATCACACAAGATTCAGTGATAAAGCTTCACTTAGCGTGCCGTACTCTCTCCACCACACGACTTACAACTAATAACGTTCAAACTTTCCCCGAACATTGATTCACTTCTTTTGTTCGAATTACACCCACTAATTACATGTACATATAATTGTCAACACAATCTAAGCTTTTAACACATCTTAATCTCGGCTAAACTATGAACAAAATTATAATATATAATAACATTAATTAATACTTAAGAAAATCCCCATTTTGAATACGCAATACGTTAAAATTAATGAATGCGCCTCTGGGATCGGCCGCAACTTGGACGTGCATACCCTGATGATTGGTTCCTATAAGACCTTAATACAGAGTATGATTCACTCCGCGAGCAAACCTGGTTCATCCTCTCGCGGCTGGAACCAGTATACATACAGACTGGTGCCCCTCGTCTGGCACTGGGGGGCTATGCCATACTCGCCAGCCCTTTCCCTATAGGCCGAGTCAAGGATTTGGCCCCTGAAATTTTGGCTTTTTCTCTTCTTGTGCCGATAGCTTCAGAGAATAGCGCGCCTCCGAGCGATCCGCCCCCCTCACCGATCCGAGGCCAACTGACGGACAGATCAGTAGGCCGTCCACACGCCCGCCTGCAATTCATGGTCAGAGCTCTGGAGGTCAGTTATCGGCTTTCCGTTTCCAGGAACCATGGTCACTCCAAGGACAGCTCCTATTTAGATAGTAGTTTTTGTAACTATGTGCACCATAGTACAAAGTTTGACGTTCTAAGTAATTAGATAGTAAAATTTGATATTATACACTTTATAAAGAGTCCGAGAAAAATGAAGATAAATAAAACAAACATAAATATTCCTAAGCTTAGTATAGCACACATATGTACTATATTAAACCTCAGATGTCGTGTAATATGCCTAGGATGGCCAGGTTAGGTTAGTTTAGTTTGTCTTTGCAACATTAGAAAATCTTTTCCGGTTTGTCCAAATTCAATAGTACCGATTTCTACTTCATAATTGCGTTGTACGTCGGTATATTGACCAGACCACACACTAGAAGTTGAAGGGACGACGACGTTTCGGTCCGTCCTGGACCATTCTCAAGTCTATTGTCGTAGCACAATCGACTTGAGAATGGTCCAGGACGGACCGAAACGTCGTCGTCCCTTCACCTTCTAATGTGTGGTCTGGTCAACAGCGACTACGAATCTCCAACCTCACTATTGCCGTTCTCCCAGACGACACCTGACACCGAATTCGTCGCCACACCGTTAGACTGATCTGTCACGCCTCGTGGCTGAGTAGGCTGCAGGAGGATGTATAATCCCTTTCCCCGCACCACAAACCTGGCCAGCATCCGGTACACGGGTCGTCCCTTCATCAACAACAAATTTAAATATTCACTGAACCATAACCTAAATCACTGGCTTTCACTAACCGCCCAGAGTCAGTGGCTGACGGGAGGAGGCTGTGGGGACACAAAAGTGAAGTGGTGATTCCCCGGTTTTCAAGCCAGAAGCCGGCGCAGGATATCGCGTCTCTGTTGCCGTGCCCGCTCAGATAAGGCTATAAAGATTAAGACCCAAATGCTACCAACACTCCCGAAAGTAATGTTGGAGGCGTAACTGGCTCCTTAACCACCCTCAGTGCCTCTAGTTCCTTTTTCTTCCATAGAGCCAGCTGGCTATTTTCCCCACCCAGAGTGCCAGCTGGTTCCTTCATCAACCAGACTGTCACCTGGCTCCACCTTCTGCACCACGGTGCCATATTGCTCCGCCTTATCCTTCACCGTACCTGTTTGCTGCCCCCCCCCCCCCTCACAGTGCCAGTGGCATCACCGTCGCCTCTACAGTGCTGGTCCTTAAACCTCTCTTACAATTGACCTAAACATCCGAGCGTCGTCGCCCCCCCCTCTCTCTCTCTCTCTCTCTCTCTCTCTCTCTCTCTCTCTCTCTCTCTCTCTCTCTCT